CAGTTCGATGGCTCGAAGGCCAATTGCAGAGAGATTCCATTTCAGCATCGAGTGGAAACTTACCCCCAGTCTGGCCGCGGGTCCTTCACAGCGAAGCCAATCTCCACACGAGGCATTGCTATCTGGAGGGGTCTCATCTTGACGTGAAGAGACTCTTCACTCATCTCCGTTTCACATCGATCGCAGCAGCTCTGCAAAGAAGCACCTGTAATAGTTTGGGTTCTTTTCCTCCCCACCCCCTCGTGCTGTGTTTTAAACCGTGGAGCCCTGAGATGAATTCTGAAGCGCTTTACCCTGGCTGTCTCTTCTCTACTCACTGACAAGCTCCAAGGAATAGGAGTAACGTCACGATGATCAATGCTACAGCAATCAATGTTTAATCACTCTCCTCCATGGCCAATTAGTATTTTAGTATTGTATCCCATTCTCAATTGGGTTTCAAGAGGTAAGTAGACAGGAGTGTGCATGATAAGAGGCAGGAAGGGGGGTATGGACATTGGGCAGGGCACTGGGACACCTCGCTCTGAGATGAGCCCCAATGGCCTCCTTCTACGCTGTGCATTTCTGTGTTTGCTCCATTTTGGTGAAACTGAACCTTCCTCTGAATGAAGTTAACATCTGCCCCTGTGGCTCTGAGTCCCGGAAACCCAGGTGAGTGGACCCACCGCAGGTTTTCCCCCTGAACAAACTCTTTGTCAACCACGACTGGGGTTGAACACAAACTGGGGAGAGCACAGAAGGACTCCATTTGACCCTTTCGTGTCTGTGACTGTGATCGCCGACAGATCTCTCTGTTGAGTCTCATTTTCCTGTCATTCTCCCCCCATCCATCCCCACCCACACACACACACAGACACACATACACAAACACCAACACACAAATTACATTTGTATAGGGCCTTTCACATCGTGAGGCCATCCCAAGGTGCTGATGCCTCACACACTCATACACACACTCACACACTCTCTCACACTCACACACACACTCACACACACACTCACCTTTTGCTCTTACATTTCTTCCTTTCAGATATCTATCGAGCTTCCACTTAAGAAGCTAAAGAGGATTCTGCCTCAAACACTGTTTCAGGTCAGGCACCTCAAGTCCACATCGCCCTTTGTGTGTAAAATAAATAATCCTCCTAACCTCTCACTTGGTAATTACCGTATATCTATACTGGCTACTTACTGACTCACCCACCAGTAGAAATAATTCCTCTGCATTTATGTTATCAAATAATTTAACAAAAACCTTTATTGCGTGTCTCTCTCTCTCTCTCTCTCTCAACCTTCCCTGGTACGGGGGAAAATCAGCCTCACTAACTGCAGTTTCTGGTAATAAGACAAAGTTCCTCAAGTTCCGAATGAATCTCCCCTGCAATCTCTATGGCCTTGACGTGCTTCCCATAGTGGGGAGCCCCAAAATTAGCCACAGTCTAATTGAATGTCCGCCCCCTGCCACCACCCCCAGCTCGGAGGGGGCAAGGGAAGGAGAGAGGCGGAGGGACTGCGGAATAGAGTTCCAGATGTGGGGACAGAGTGGCAGAAGGCCCGGCTGCCAATGGTGGGGAGTGAGGCGGGGGATGTGCTGAGCGGAGGGAGCAAACAAGATGGTAGGGGGTTAGGAGGTCACAGAGGTAGGGGGCAATGAGGCCATGGAGGGCTTTGATGGTGAGGACCAGGATCTTGAACTGTATCATATGTGTTCCAGTGGAGTTGGGCGAGGATGGGGGTGATAGGGTCACGGAGCCTGGTGCGGGAGAGGACACGGACTGCAGAGTCCTGGATGATCTGTAGCCTATGGAGGGAGGAGTTGGGGAGGCCGACAAGCAGGGAGTTTGTAAAGTCGAGCCTCGTATGGTGAATGCGTGTATGAGGGTTTCTGCGGCCTGCGGTGTGAGACCGTGGCAGAGCCGGGTGATGGTGCCGAGGTGGGGGAATGTGTGTTCACACACACGCACATACACACACGTACACACAGACAACACACACACATATACACACACACATACAGACACATACAAACACATACAGACAACCCACGTTGACCTGTCATCACATCAAGTGTTTGGCAAACAAATAGAACATGGTCGGTCGAATATCCTCTCGTGAAAGAAAAAACACGGTGCTGTTAAACATTTAATTTGGTGGAGATGTGAAGGTGACTGCCCCTTTGAAACGATCGACTGCAATAGGTGCCACACGCACAAAAAAATCATTACCGACCTGGAGATTTGTATGAACCGAAAGCATGGTTCAATTTCCACAGTAATATTTGAAAAATGTCTAAAGGAAAAAAAATCAATGCATATATTTGCAGGAGAACATTAGTTGCTTCAGAGAACAGACTAAGAGACTGAGGAGCCAGGCACTGCAGTGTCTCGTGTTTAGGTAGCTCAACCCACCATGGCCGGGTTTAAACCTGGGTTTGGCAGGAATTCTTGTTGAACTGCACCAGCCTATTGCCAGGAAAATAGAAGAAATGTTGGGAATTGGGAGAGAAGATCATTATTTGGGGAGGACAAGTTTGCAGGGCTGTGGGGAGAGAGCGGGGGAATGGGATTGATTTGGAAGCTCTTTTCAAAGCGCCGGCACAGACACGATGAGTCAAATGGCCTCCTTCTGTGCTGTATAATTCTCGGATTCTAAGAGAATCCAGGAGCCTTTTCCCTCTCTCCCCCACATCCACACAATACCACTATCCTGTGGTACTGGAGTACCAGTCTATCAGCTACAGCACTCGCTTCGCAAGCGAGAGGATCTGGGTTTGATTCCCGGGCAGGGTGAAACTTTTGGCAAGTTTCCTTACTCCGCACACCTTTGTTTGGTTCGCAGTAAGTAGGAACCCGGTTGTTAGTTGATCAGTGGATCGTTTTTCTGGGGGTAATAATCCCTTCAACAAAAAAATGTTTTCCTCGCAGACTCATTGGACCAAATGGCCTTCTTCTGCGCTGTAAATTTCTATATTTCTATCCACTAATTCCTGATGGACCTTGCCTTGTCTCTCAGTCTCCAGTCCTGCCTGTCCCTTTGCCTCGTTCAACGAAACAGGAAAGGGGGAAAGTGAAAATCGGGATAAGCCTTTTTTTTTGGCCTTGAAAGCGATTACCGCAAATAAGAATCTCCAACTACAAAACAAACTGCACTTAATCTGAAATATTTATAAAAATATATTTCACAAAGTAGGAAACAATACAAGGGTTTCTCTGATGTACAATACATGGAATAAAATAACCCAAATGGACAATTAAATAGCATGAAAGCAATGTATAAAATTAATACGAGCTCCTCTGTGTGTGTGTGTATGTATCAGACTATTGTAATGTACAATATCTACTCTGAAATGTATTATTTGCCTTGTTAAAAAAATTGGCAATGCACAAAGTCTTCAGTGCTGTTACTCTAGGAGGCTGTGCTCAAGGACTAACGTGCAGAACCAAGGATACGCATCTCGATAACAAAACTAGCCACATAAGCAGTAAATCTATATATATTATATATATATATACGCACATTTTTTTTTCTTTTTTTCTGTTTTTTTTTCTTTCAAATGACACAGTGAAGCACATTTAAGCACATGTTTGACACTGGTACTGAACTGTGTAATGAGAGTGTATCTGAAGGTCAGCAATTCAAATATCCACATGAACTCACTTCCATTTCAGCTGTTGTGCTTGGCTCGCTGTTAATAAACTCAGTTGCCCGGGCAAGCAAGGTGTGTACAGGTCTGAGAAGGATCAAGCTTGGCGGGTTACGGCCCACATTCTCAGGTTCTTTGTCAAGGAGAGCGGGAGGGGGACGAGAGAGGGTGAACGCAAATAAAATAAAGACTTTTACAGGTAAAAAATAATTCAAAAACTAATACCGCTATCATTTGGATGCTCAATTCCACGATTGTTGGTGGGACGCTGCTGCGTGCAATTGGCTGCTGAGCTTCGCCCACAAAATATGCAGTCGATTCACTTTGCTGTGAAGCGCTTCGAGACGTCTCAACAACGTGATTAGGCGCTGTATCAAATGCAAGGATTATTTTTATTAAACACGGTAAAACTCCTGATAACTCAATCCCGTCTTAACTTGTCACAACCACTCAAGTCGTCGTGCTGTCCATATCCCGGCTACGGTTAGCGACGTGTTTTTTTTACAGATGCCTATCGCGTCACTGAGCCCTCTTCCCTTGGAGCGACAAGTTCTACTTTAAATTTCAATCAGAACAATCAGCCTCAAACCAAAAAAAAAAAACATTCGGTCTCTCCCTCCTTCCCCTCCCCAGTGACAGAGGAAAAAGCAAGAGAAATTGCTGGCCAACAAAGACTAGTTCTGTGCGCCCTTGAAAGAGAGCGAGCGCTCTAGCTGAGGTCTCAGGTTCCGCTCGGCCCCTCTTGCCTCTGCCTAGATCTGGAGCCAATGACTGGAATGAAGGCAGAACATGGGAATATTATGAAGCTGGCAAGCATTCAGTTAGAATACACTGTGTCTACTGTGTGCCCACCTACTCACACGAAGAAACACTCAATTACACCTCGGCTAACGTAAGGAGGAGACGGTTGTGGTTTCGAAGCTTTAGGACATCCGGTCTAGCGCTGTCGCCCAGCTTTGGTTTCTGTCCTGCAAATAAATGCACGCAATATTACTTGGCTTGTCCTGCCTCGGGCGAGGCCTCATACCCTCTCGTTCAGGAGAAGAAGAGCGACATAGCTTTGCCGCGAGAGAGAGAGAGAGAGGAGGGAGAAAGAGAGAGAGAGGGAGAAAGAGAGAGAGAGGGAGAGAGAGAGAGAGAGAGAGCGCTGGTGCATTTGTCGAGATGTCCCGACGGTGACTTGTAACATCCCAACGCATTCGTCTTCCGCTCGAGTGAACCAGGAAACCAGAACCTGCCTCGAGAACCCACCTCATCTACTCGACACTCCACGAGAGTTTTTAAAAAAAACAGTTATACAATCTGAAAGTAGATAAGCTTTTGTTTCGATTTGTATTTTTGTTTTGTAGTTTGCGTTTGCTGTTTGTTTGTTTGTTGTTTGTTGTTTGTTGTTTAGTTTTTTTTGGTTCGATATCACAAGGAGCTGGACTTTCCCAAGAAGGATGATTGACCCTAACGTCGACTGTATCTAAAAGGCCGGCCCAGCTTAATCCATCGTTAACAATTGGCAACCCTATAATTACACACCGGGGTCCTGTAAAGGCTCCTCGCTCCGCCTCGGACAGACGGACGGACGGACGGATGGGACAGTCAGGTCTCCCGGTCGCTCTCGCCCACAGCGTACATGTCCCCGAGTTTCTTGAACCGCGACCCCCAGTCTTTGAGGTAGTCATAGTTCTGCTCAGAGTCCGTGGAGGCAGTGTCCAGGGAGCTGAGCGAGCCGGCCACCGAGCCACGGCCCTCGTAGCCGTAGATCTGGATGGAGTCGTAGGGGGGGGCCGTGGGGTCGATGTCCGCATCGTGGAGACGCACTTTGATGAACTCGTCCACGTCCACCCCGCTCGGCACCGGGGTCAGGGCCTGCCTGGGCGCGTACTGCAGCTCGGGCTTGATGTCCCTGCGTGGCAGGAAGCCGTTGAAGCCGTCGGGGTTCTGCAGCGTGGCGATGTCGAAGGCCTCGGTGTCCTCCTCCCCCCCGCCTTCATCGTCGTAGCGGATGATGTTCTCCCGCACGTCCTCGTCATCCTTGATGGTGAAGGGCTCGTTCTTGTGCCTCCGCAGGGTCACGAACAGCACCACGATCACTGCGGAGCAAGAGCCAAGGTTAGCGCCCGCTCAGCAACCCATCCCCGCTCCGCCTCTCTCGCCTCTTTATTTGATTTTTAACTTTGTTTGATCGTGGAGTTCCTGTAGCTCAGGGTCGGAGCCCTCGCCTCGCAAGCGAGAGGATCCGGGTTAAATTCCCGGGCGGATCAGCATAAGTGGAAACCCGGTTGTTAGTCGATTGGCAGATCGCTTTCCGGGGGTAATAATCCCTCCCCAATTCACGATGGTTTGTGGGACACTGCTGTGCGCAATTTCGCCCACAAAAATACGCAGTCACTCCACTTTACGATATATATTCTGCGTAGCACTTTGAGACGTGATATCAAATGCAAGGATTATTATTATTATGGTTATTATTATGTGGGATGGAGGACTTGTTGGCGTGTTGTTGTGGTGCCCTCCTAATAAATACAGCCTCTCGGTCATAAACCCAGAGCCGGGTCTCACCAAAGCACGGCAGACAAAGGCTTAAGCTCATAACAAAAGGATGACCTAACCTGTGCAAATGAGCAGTCGTGGTTTCTCTCAGAGGCTTGTTTTACCCGGCGATGGGGTTGGATTTTTATAACCAATGTGTGGGGGGATGGGGGGGATGGGGGGGTGGGGGGCATGGGGGGGTGGGACTTTCTTTGCAAATCTGCCTTCGAAAATAGAACAGTTTTCACGGAGCAAGGCTTAGCCGGTCGGTCTCACAGGTTCCTGGCAGGTTCTCTGTTCACAGGGGAGATGTATGCTTCACAAATCAGCCTCTCCTGGGAGCTCAGTCTCTACCCCCTCCACACACACGCGCGCACACACACACACACACACACCACCCCTCGCCCCACTGAATCTCCCTATTTGACTGCAGTGCAGCTTGCGATGCATGCAAGGGGAATGCCAGGAGTACTGTATATTAAATGAATGTTGGAGTTAATCTGCCAGCAGTGTTTATGCTTGGTTGAAAAATTCAGCACAATTTAAGTCAATGGGAATGGCGCATTGCAATCCAGTTGTCTAAATCAAGCATCCATTCACAGAGACACAGCCCTGTAATAGATCTTGCACATGTTTACAGCTGTTGGCTTAAGCCCCAAAGTAGGTGAGGCGACACGTGACCAAATCGACTCTGTGCCTCAACAGTTTTTATGACAGTCCTTATCAAATCCGACAACTTGCAGAACAAACCATCAGTCACCTGTTCCTAGCTGGTGCGGTCTCTCCACCATGACTCTAATCTCATTCCCCTGCCCTTCCCACCATCCCCTCCCCATCGGGTCTGTGCTGGGGCTCGGTCCCCCACACTGGGGCTCTCTACTCTGATCTATTTTGGGATACAGTACTTGAGTAGTTCAGGCCATGACGTGTGTCAAGTGACTGCCAGGACGGTGGAAGGCGAACTGGATGGACTTTGGTCTTTTTGTCATCCTATGTTCCCAGGATCCTATGTCACCGCACGAGGGGATGTCCAGAAGGTGTGTTGAGCACCTTGACGTGTGAGGGGCTTGTGTACGTACCCAGCAGCAGGATGATGCAGGCTAGTATTGCTATTAGGGCTCCCATGCTCAGGCCGATGGGCAGGATGAAGGCTTCCACGTTGCAGGACTGGACGCTGCCGTTGCTGCTGCAGCCACACACCTGGATGGTCAGTGTGCTGGTGCTGCTCAGGGGAGGCCGGCCGTTGTCCGAGATCACAATGGGCAGCAGGTAAACGTCCTGCTTGTGCCGGCTGAAGCCGCTGTGTCTGGTCAGGATGCTGACCGAGTTATCTGCTGGCGAGAGACAGAGAGGGCGGATCAGAATGGGGCACACACCTAGTAATAATAACAGTAATAATAACAGTAACAATAATAGTAATAATAACCCTTGCATTTGATATGGTGCCTTTTGGTTTGAAAACGCCAAGCAAGCAGAGAACAACCATCCAAGGTGTGGATTGTCAACCGTGTGCCAGGGAACCATAACCGAAGACTGAGCAAGGGGAGGGGAGGCGGGAGGGGGGAGGGCTGGGGAGGGGAGTCACTACGAACCCCACTTAGCTCACGTAGAGTCGAAGATGATTCAGCTGAAGAGTTTGCGTCTCCTGCAGACCGGAGCAGATGGGTGGGAGGGGTCTACAAGGCAGGAATGTGATTGAAGGCCCTTTCGGATACAGTGGATACAGCACTTCAATGCTGCCCCAGCAGGGCCCAACCCCAACGCTACCCTCTCGGTTGTGCTCCCATGTGTTGTCGCTCTGTTTTGCCCATCTGTTATTTTATGTTGACGGTTCAAGAGCTGGAGGCACAGATGAGTCTCAGTGCTCTCTTTGCAAGCTTCATTGATAATCAGAATGGTGCTGATTTATTTATGTACTGTGCACGCATGTGTGCGTGTCTGTCTGTCTGTCTGTGTGTGTGTATGAGTATACGACAATTTGGGATGGGGAGTGATGGGGCACAAGTTCAAGCTGTTTAGCTGCATTGCCAGAAGTCATCTCCAAGCTCGAACAGGCTGGAGACATCCCCCTTGCCCACTGAGCTCTCCTCCGCCTAACACCTGGGCTTAGAGGAGCATTGACCAAGCTACTTGGAAGCAGATTGATCAAAACCTGCCCCAATCTTCAATTTACTGCGTTCAGGCAAGACCGAGGTGTTGGGAGAAAATGAGACAAAGTCTTCTTGAATAAATCCCATCCCTCCCAAAAAAATGCTCCCTAAAATAAGGATGAGCTGTGTAAGGCTGTCTGCGCTGTCAATCTCTTGGTCTCTGTATTGATGAGGGACAATGAGAAGAGATGTCTGCAGAGAGAACCTTACTGAGGTGCAAAACACACTCTAGCAACTTGCCACTCAGGCAGCACCTTTTCACATTGGAGAACGTCTGTCAAGACGGCGTGAGTCAGTGAGCACAACAACAACAACTTGCATTTCTATAGTGCCCCTTACCCAGGGTGGCTTCCCAGAGCACAAAACCAGCAGCTCGTGACTCCCTGATCACCCAACTGGACGGGTCAAGGATGATGTGTGAGGACCGCCCGCCATTGGCTGTCCCTTAGCACCACAGGATCAAAAGCAAGATTGCGAGTGTGTGTGGCGCCCACTGGTGGACACGCAAGGAGAGGCGGCCCAGAGGCAGGAATGTCAGTGTATAAAGGGGCTCCAATGACAATGCGCTGACAGCTCTAACAAGCACTGGTTTGACCTTGTTACCAGGTCCAAGAGTGGGCCTTCACACATGCCAAAAAAAAACCTCAGGCAAAAACTCAGCCTGTTGGGAATTCGCGAGGGAGACTCAAGATCCCCGAGGAAACCTAGTGAAGGAGCCAACTCTCTCCCCTTCCTATTGCTGAATGAATAAGCCACACAGATTTAAGACAGGTCTTCAAAATTATGAGAGGTTTTGAGAGAGTAGACGGGGAGAAACTGTGTTTCCACTGGTGGGTGCGTCGCTAACCAGAGGACACAGATGTAAGACAATTGGAAAAAGAACCAGAGGGGAGACGAGGAGACATTTTGTTTACCCAGAGAGTTGTTACGGTCTGGAACGTACGGCCTGAAAGTGGGGGAGAGGAAGCAGATTCGATAGTCGCTTTCAAAAGGGAATTGGATAGGGACTTAAAAAAGAAAAAAAACTGCAGGGCTATGGGGTAAGAGCTTGGGAGTGGGACAAGCTCGGTAGCTCTGTCACAAAGCCGGCCCAGGCACGAAGGCCCAAATGGCCGCCTTCTGTGAGGTAATATTCTATGATTCTACGTATAATGAGAACAAGGATGAAACGGTGCTATCTGCAGGGAGAGAGGGGACCGGAGAGGAGGGGTTTGCTCAGAACATGGACCACATAGTTGCCATCTGCTTCTCTTTGAAAATCACTGAGCAATTACATATGTAAGCTTAGGAGGGTGGTTTGCTAATAGCCATTAATTAAAAGCATTCAGCTTATAATTATGCAATTTTCTAAAGCAACTCATCCATTTTCATTGTCCTTTCAAGAGCAAAATGCACAAACAGACGCCCCTATGCTAATCTTTCCCTTTCGCGTCTTCCCTCTCGTTCCTTTCAACCTCGCTGGTGTCCTATGTCTAAGGAGCTTGCCTCTTGGCTTTCTCTTGATGTTGAGAAACAATCTTGCGTCGTTTCTTAACAGAATTGCCCGACAGCTGGCTCGAATCGCTAGATACCCAGAGTTTGCAACCCCGACCCACTGGAACTAAGAAACTATTAAGAAACAATTTCCATTAAGAAACAACCCAAACTGACTCCAATAGAAAAAAAGCAATAATAATAATAAGCTTTGCGTTGGAGATAGCGCCTTATCACTTCATTGAGCTTCACAGAATATACTGTAAGGTGTAGTGACTGGGTATTTTGTGGGAAAAACGTGGCAGACAATTGCCAATAGCAGCATCCCACAAACAGTGGTGGATTGAGTGACCAAATTGTTATTTGGTTCCCCACCTCTCAGCCTTGCACTGGATCGTCAGCCTGGGCTGCGTGAGTGATAACTCTTCTTTCTTCGTTCGTTCGTTCATTCATTCACTCACTCTCTCTCTCTCTCTCATTCTTGCCCTTCATTTTCTCCGCTTTCATCAATTACTCCGTTCACCCTCTCTCCTCGTGAATCAGACACACAAATCATTCATTCCAAGTCAGTCGCACTTCTCCATCTAATATTCACCTCGTTCCTCCTTCGCATTTAATTCGAAATCTCTTCCTGACCTCTTTAATTTATCCTTTGACTTTCAGAGAGGAAGGAAAATCTGAACACCTAATTTTTTGGCGTCGACTTATTTAAATAATTATTCATACTTACACAACCTATTTATAGAATGTGGCAGGAGCTAATCTTCTGGGACTCGCTGGTGATAACGCGGCCTTTTACGTTTAATCGTGTTAATTTTGCTCAAAACACTTTCAAGGATCTAAGCATTTCATATCAAGGCAATCTGTCCGTATTGCTCTTGACGTTTTTTATAGCAGAGTTACGAGAGGTTAAAGCAGTTGAGAGTGGGAATCTGAGGATGTGTTTGGTGGTTGGAGGCGAGGGCTGGGCTGGAGGAACATAGAGCACTCTTGAAACCCGCTTTTGAAGGTTAAGAAATAAATGGGTTGAGGGAACAGATTGAGTAGTAGTAATAATAATAATAATAATCCTTGCATTTGAGATAGTGCCTTATCACAGCTTCGAGCCGTTTCAAAGAACTTTGAGAAGGTGTCGAAGCACTCGCAGAATATACTGTGTATTTTTTTGTGTGGGTGAAACACGGCAGCTAATTGCACACAGCAGTGTTCCACAAACAGTCTCGATTGAGTGACCCAATTCTTTTTAAGGGATTATTACCCCCGGAAAAGCAATCTGCCAACAACTGGGTCTCTACTTACTGCTAGGTAAACCGAGGCGGGTGGAGTAAGGAAACTTGCCCAACCTTTTGCCCAGGAATCGAACCCGGTCCTTTCGCTTGCGAGCTCTAACCGCTGAGCTACAGGACTCCACAAAGGCATCGTTCAAGGCTTTGCTTATCCCCTGTCTGTCTGTTTGTCTGTCTGACTCAATGGGTTTGCTTCTCTCTTTGAGGGCTATAGAAATTTACAGCCCAGAAGAAGACCTTTCAGCCCATCGTGTCCGTGTTGGCTCTTTTAAAGAGCAATCCTTTCAGCCCCAATTTTCAAACGTTTCACCTACAGAAACACAGTCACCACACGGATGCAATCAACACCGCAAAGTACTTTGAGCAGTTCAAAGACGTGATAAGGCGCAGTATCAAATGAACAATTATATTAGTTATGCGATAAGACATTCCCATGTCAGACACACACACACCACTCCACACCGAATGCAAGGGTTAGTTTTATTGTTTATCCTGACTGAAGATGTTTATCCTGACAAAATAACTGTCTTACAATTACAAACAAGGGTGAGTGGGGGAGGAGAGGGGGAGGGGAGGGGTGGGTGTGCGAGGGGCAAGGGGAGGGGGTAGGGAACAGCTCTGGAAGGATTGAAAGGAGTTCAATCTGGCCAAAGGCCTTCAAAATCCAAACCTGTCTTGCACCCTGTCCTGCTGATCACCACATTGTGTGGAACAACCCAAGCAAATCCAGTAAAGATGGTCGCTCACACGGCCTGTCAGATTGTAGCTCCCCGAGAGAGCCACAATTACCCATCTAAACAGATAAGCTTTTAGCTAATTGCTCGAGCAGTAATTAAGACCAGAGAAGACAGCAGCTTGACCTGTGAGAAACCAGTTCCTGAGCTGGCAGCAATGCCACACTGCCTGGCTTTGCGAGAGCAGAGACACGATGCCTATGCCAAACCCTGATCTTCAGGAGGACCTGGGAGGGGGCTGAGCAGTCACTGGGGCAGGGCTGCTTCCCACTCTGCTCCCGTTATCCCTGCCAGCTAAAGGCCTGATGGGTCAGATGGTCCTAGTTGAACAAGAAGCAGGAAAGCTTGCCAGATACCTCTCACAGTGTGATAAGCTGTGAGGTTCTAGCTGATGAAACTCAGGCAGTTAATCCTCTCCACGCCCCCCACCCCCATGCACACGCTGTGGGTGCCCCCACCTCCCTTCTCCGCTCCCTCCCTCAAGACTGGACGTCTGATACGGAAGCTCGGCATGTGATGATTGGCTGGAGCTCTCGGGAAACTGGCTGGAAGAACTGTAAGCGTGAGGAACTGAAACATGAGTTGTTTACCTTCGTTGTTCCTGATGGTGAAGTTGGGGTTGGGAGGCATGTCCACCAGCAGGCTGTAGAAAAAGAAATGGCCATTCCGAGGGTCGTCCTTGTCGGTGGCATTGATCGTCTTGATCACCTTCCAGGGAGAAAAAGCAAAGAGATAGGGACGATAGGGACAGGAAGAGGCCATTCAGCCCCCTCGAATCTGTTCCTCCGTTCTAGCAGATCGTGGCTGAACTGGACCCCAACTGCAATTATCTCACCGTTACGGAGTCGCGGGCAGTAAAATGCCAGCGCGCTGATCCAAACTGCCTCCAGCACCAGGCTTTAGCTTTAAGCGTGTGCGTGTGCGCGCGCGTATGTGCGTGTACATGCGTTCAGCCGCGACCCCCCGAAACTCTGGATCTCTCTCCTTCAGTCCCGCTACCTCGGCCCCCCCTTTCCTTCCCCACTTTCAGGTCGCGCCTGAGGACCTTCCTCTTCGACCGAACAGTGCCTACGGTCACCTGCCCCCCCCACCCCCCTCAGGCTCAGCCACTGTCAAGCGCTCTGGGACGCTGCCCTGTGTGAGGGGGACGCTGTGTAAATGCAAGTTGTTGTTGTTGTTAGTGCGAAAGACTGACCTGTCCGGTCTTGCCGTTCTCACACAGGTAAGCGTCGTACAGAGAGACAAACTCGGGAGGGTTGTCGTTGACGTCCAGAACTCTAATGGCCACAAGACTGCGAGACGTCTGGCTGAGGTTCCCTGCGAGGGTCAGGGCAGAACACAAACAAAGTCAACGCTTCCCGTGTGGAACTCCAACCTTCCTGCTCACTCCCGAATGGCCTGAGAGCGAGGCAGCTCACGATGGGAGAGTGAGAAGGGGTGTGGAGGGATGAAGAGTACCATCTGACATGCGTGTCTGCCGGTTCCTCTCTGTGAGGTGCCACGAGGTGCCCTCTGCCCGGACCCAGCTCTGCTCTGTAATGGGTCAACGACAAACCCAGGGGTCGAACCGTACAGTTGGAAATAGCCTTTAATTTAATTAATTTTAATTCAATCGAATGGATCAGCCCCGCAGCGAGTAATTCAATCAAGTAGTTTTAGTTCACGCCTCGAAGCGATTCTACTTCAATTCAGGCGGAAACCAAAGATTCCAGGGCGCTGTTGGGGGAAAAAAAACAGAGAGAGAGAGGAGTTTCCTGGCCAACAATCCCTCTCTCCCCCCACCCACACCCCCACCCACACCCCCCACACCTCTCCCTAGGAAAAATCACTTTGTGGCTGTTTGTGGTGACCTTGCTGTCATCTTGAAATATGTAATTCCCTGCGGCCTGTCTCGATGTTATAGGGGGTTGTGTCAGATGCGAGGTATGTCTATCTTATTATTTTGATTATTATTATTATAATACGCACTGGTTTCCGTGGCGATCACAGAGATATTGTGCCAGGCGTCAATTTCTCTGTCCAGAGATTTCCCCAACATGATCCGTCCGTCCTCAGGGTTGACATTGAACAGCCGGTCAAGGTCACTGTGGCGATCGATGGAGTACCTGCAGGCGAGAGACGTCGGGAAGCCTATTAGAGTCCCTGCAGGGTAGAGGTTAGAGCGCTCGCCTCACAAGCGAGGGGACCTGGGTTCGATTCCCAGGCGAGACAGGGCCAAACCTTAGTAGGCAAGTTTTCTTACTCCACACACACACACACACATACAAGTGTTTATCAGCAGTCAATAGGAACCCGGTTGTTAGTCGATTGGCGGATCGCTTTCCCAGGGGTAATAATCCCTCCCCCACCAAAAAATAATAATTTTTCACACACACGACTGCTCCGAGAGCAAAAATAAGTTGTCACTCACTCCCCAACTGTTTGTGGGCCACTGTTGTGTGCAATTTGCTGCCGGGTTTCACCCACAGTCAATCCAAGAGTCAGAGAGAGAGAGAGAGAGAGAGGGGAGAAAAATAGATAACGAGAGAGAGAGAGAGAGAGAAAGGAATAAAGAGCGAGAAAGAAAAAGAAAAATGAATGAGAAAGAAAAACAAACTGGCCCGAAGTTCTGGCTGAAGAGGAGAGGAGAGGAGAGGAAAGAACGAGATGAGGAGAGTGGAGGAAGAGGAGGAGAGGAGGAAGAGGAGGAGAGGAGGAAGAGGAGAGGAGGAGGAGGAGAGGAGGAAGAGGAGGAGAGGAAGAGAGGAGGAGGGGAGGAAGAGGAGAGGAGGATAGGAGGAAGAGGAGGAGGAGGAGAGGAGGAGGAAGAGGAGAGGCGAGGTGGGGAGGGGAGCAGGTAGAGAGGATACCTGACAGGGCTGGTCGTTGCGTCCGGGTCGTGAGCAGTGACCTGGCCGATCACGGAGCCGATGGCTGCGTTCTCCTTCACCGCGAGGAAGTAGGCGGGTGGGGAGAAGACCGGGGGCTCGTCAGCGTCCTCCACCATTATCTTCACTGCAGCCGTGTCCTTAAAGGGCCCTCGGCTCAGGTACCGCGGGTCAATGCGATCGTTCACCGCCTCCACCTTCAGCGTGTATGAGCGCTTCCGTTCAAAGTCCAGCGGCTGGGGAGGGGGTACCGAGGGGGGGGGGGAGAGAGAGAGAAAGGGGGAGAGAGGAGGGAGAGAAAGGAGGAGAGAAAGGGGGAGAGAGGGAGGAGAGAAAGGGGGAGAGAAGGAGAGAAATTATTAGATTACAGTGAAATCCTGCGAAGCACTTTCAGATGTCCTCTACCCACCGCCCCCCACCCACCACCACGGCGAGCTCGGTGGCCCTGAGCTTACTTTGGCCAGTGTGATGACCCCCTCCTGGGTCTGGGAGTCCGGCCGGATCTCAAACACATCCATCCCATCACCGTCGATGACCTCGTACAGTGACTTGGCATTGTCCCCTATGTCACGGTCGGTGGCCTTGATCCTCCCAACGGGTTCTCCGATGGCTGTGTCCTCCAGCACAGACAGGTGGTACAGACCTGCGGACACAAGGGTTAGTGGGTCCCATTACACTAACTAATAATCAGGACAATAATCATTAATCTTTGTGGAGTCCTGTAGCTCAGTGGTTAGAGCACTCGCCTCGCAAGAGAGAGGACCCGGGTTCAATTCCCGGCAGGCGGCAAAACCTTGGGCAAGTTTCCTTGCTCCACACGCCTGATAATAATCCCTCTAAAATAATTAATAATAACAGTTTGGTCACTCAACCCACGGCTGTTTGTGGGGACGCTGCTGTGCTGCCGCGTTTCGCCCACAAAATACACAGTCAATTCACTCTACAGTGTATCCCGTGAAGGGCTTTGGGACGTCTCGAAGACATGATGAGGCACTGTGTCAAACGCGAGGATTGTTATTATTATTACATTTGATTCAGTGCCTTTCACGTCTCAAAGAACTTCCCGGGATTTACTATAAAGTGTGAAGTGACTGTGTGTGTTGTTGGTGAAGGCGACAGCCGATGTGTCTTTTATTCAAGTAGCCCCATGGGTCAAATTTAAGGTCCACCTGAACAGGGCTCAGATTGAGGAGCTCTGTTTAACGTCTCTATTGAAGGACGGTGCCTCTGATAGCCCAGCGCTCTCTCCGCACCACACTGGAGCATCAGTCTAGACTGTTTGGAAGGGGAGAGAGAGGAGCTGGAAAGTGAGATTAATAACAAAGGCGACAATACAGTGACACAGAAACCAGGGCCCGTGTGGACTGGTTCCTCGGCTGGAAAAAATTCTCAATGTAATTTCACATGAAATGTCGAGCGTGTTGTGGGGAAAGCCTGGTCTCTATCCAGTTATCCAGTCAAGCTTGTTTTGATCAAGTCAGCGAGACATCGAGAGGTCTCAAAGCGCTTCACCGGATTTTTGCTGTGAGGTGTAGTGACTCCGCATATTATTTTAGGCAAAAGCGGCAGCCAATTTGCACGCAGCGATGTGTGTGCGTCCACAAACAGCCGTGAAGTCAACACACACCTTATACACACACACGGGAGCGCACAATTGCGCAGACACACATGCACACACAGACACGTGCCGCACACACACATACACGCACACACACATGCGCGCGCACACACACACGCGCGCACACACACACACACTGCGGCAAAGACAATTGGTTTGGCAGGAAGTAGACAGACACAAACAGCGTGTGAGTTTATCTCTGCGTTCACACTCCAGACCTACACGCACACGGAACTCGCAGCTCAATCTCTTTCGAACGAAAAGCGTGACGAACAGAAAGTTACGAAAAGAAATTTCACAATTTATCCGCTTGCATAAAAGCATCAGAATTTTGGTGCATTAAAGAGGGGGGGAGGAAGAGAGGGAGGGGCTGAAACCTGGCCCTATAACCATTGGGACTTGGGATTTGATTGCAGGGATAAAAGCTTCCCTTTTTCCGCTGGCTGTGAGTGACTGGAGCAACGGGAATGCGAACAGCCTTATTTCACACTAAATCTTTCTGGCTGTCACTTGACATTAATATCAAGCGTGCTCTCATCTGCTGTAAATCTCTTCACAGAACCCCGTGCTAATAGCCACTGGACTGGCTGGGCTAGAATAGCAATCTCGCCTGCAATCTTGCTCTACCTGCTGCCGCGTTTCATTTCGATTTTAACAAGCAACTGGGGAGCCAATGCTCATATAGAGAGATAGCAAAAATATTTCCCAGTAAAACAGTCGTTCAGATGAACATTATATAAACAGACAAGCAGGAGTGTGCTACAGCATGAGGCATCATCAAACAGTCTGGTGAGTTTAAGAGGCTGCGGGGGGAAATCTGCTACAAGACGTTCAATACTGGGGAAGGCTTGCTCTCTTATATCTGCTGGTTGGTTAATTGACGACGTTATAATAATTATAATAATCCTTGCCTCTGAAATAGCGTCTTATCACGTCTTCGAGACATCTCATAGGGCTTCACAGAATATTCTGTGAAGTGAGTTCACTCTATATTTTGTGGATTAAACGCGGCAGCCAATTGCACACAGTAGCGTCCCACAAACAGTCGTGGATTGAGTGATGAAATTATTATTATTATTTATTTTAGAGGGATTGTTACCCCCGGAAAGCAATCCACCAATTGACTAACAACCAGGTTCCTACTTAGTGCTGGGTAAACAGAGGCATGTGGAGTAAGGAAACTTGCCTAAGGTTTTTCCCTGCCCGGGAACATTGCACACATAGACACGTACACACAGACGCTCACACACACAGACACTCACACACACAGACATGCACACACAGACACTCACACACACAGACATGCGCACACAGACACTCACACACACACAGACACTCACATACCCAGACATGCACACACAGACACTCCCACATACAGACACTCACACACACAGACATGCACACACAGACACTCCCACGTACAGACTCTCACACAGAAGGTCATTAGAGATCCTGTGACTACTCGAAAAGGGAAGGGAATCTCCCCCTCCCGGTGTCCCAGCCGACAATTCCCCTCAAGGATTCATGTCATGGCTGTTTGAGGGGACATTCCTGTGCGTAAACATTAGCTGCCGTGTTCTGCCTTCCCGGCCAATGGTTCACACTTGCGTGTGTTTGACATCTGAGAATGGACTCTCTCCACCACCCCCCCCACTCTGCCCGCTTATCCCATCCCCCCGCGTCACCCCCCCACTCTGCCCCCTCATCCCCTCCCCCCGTCCAAAAGATTACTCCACATCACCCAGCACTGCTCTTGCCAAGACACAAGCTAGGCAAGCTGTTGCTCCATCTCTGCCAACAGCAGGTCTCTGAGCCAGTTCCACAGAGATGTAGCAGAGCCACACAGGGCAACTCACGCGTCACTCTCACCTCCACCTCCAGCCTCATGTCTGGCAGAAACCAGCCAAGCTGCCACGTCTCATCTCTCCCGGGAGCCTGAGAGCAACACCGCACCACTTCGTGCCGAGTTCCTCCAAGCCCTGGCTGGTTGTGGGGGCACAGCTGTGTGCAAATCGACTGCCGTGTTCGCCTACATAAAACACTCACGGTCTCTCCTCTGACGTGCTTTGAGATGTCTCGATACTATGAGTCAGGGTTATATCGCATCAGTCGTTGTATCCCAGGAACAGAATCCCTAAGCAGTACGGATTTAGACGTAGGGAAGGTTGGACGGACTGATCCTCGCGCGGCTACTTCCCAAAACAATAATACTCCTCGCGCTTGATACTGTTGGAGGGTGTCTCAAAGCGCTTCGCAGGATTCACTGTAAAGTGTAGTGACTGTGTGGTTTGTGGACCAACTCGCCAGCCAATTCGTGCACAATAACAGCAAACAGTCGTGAAGTGACCCAATTATTACTTCTTTTTTCCTTTTTTTGAAGGGGTTATTACCCCCGGAAAAGTGATCCGTCAGTCGACTAACAACCGAGTTCCTACTTATTCCTACCAGTAGTGGTAGTAAATAAGAGTAAGTCTAGACCTCGAGTAAATTTACCCACTCCCTCCCCACACACACACACACACACACACATAGCAGAAAAAAGGCCAACTCGAGGCTGTGAAAGAGGGCGGGAGAATTGGTTTCATAAGCTCTACCTTTTAAGAAAAACAAAGAGATCAGAGGCAACTTGCTTAGCACGAACTGAACTGACACAGGCAAGTTGTAACCATAGTGATTTGAAATAGATGGCGGAGCCGAGAGTTTCTGCCCAGAGTGTACCGTTAGATTTGCTTTTAACGCTTTGCCATTAATTAAAGTGTTCGGCATGTGTGCGTGTGTGCGTAACTCTCTCTCTCTCTCTCTCTCTCTGTGCGAGCAGCAGCCTAGAGGAGTTATATCAGTTGCACTTGACAATTAATTTCCAAGACTTCGGGATGAAAAAAAAATCTTTTTGCATTAATTTCTAACGGATTTGCGAAGAAAAACAACATCACGGCCCATCGAGCCATTGATTGATTGATTGATTGATTGATGGGGAAATAATTAAGGAATTTGGCAATACCAATTGCCTGCTGTGGAAACACACTTCCCCGGGAAACAGAAGGCTTGGGGGGTGGGGTGGGGGGGGGGGGAGAGGCATGGGTCAAAGGAGAAAGGGGGAGCGAGCAGGGAGAAGAAAATTAGAAAAATAATTGGAATTTAATAATTTATATAATTTTTTTTCAAATGGTTACAATTTTGACTCCTGGCTTCGCGACTTGTGAGCAGTCATCATCCCAATTATGTGGAAATCTGCAGACGAGACAGTTACATGGTTGTTTTAGAGAGTTTGGAACTAATAATAATAATTCTCGCATTTGATATAAAGCCTCATCACGTGGTTGCGCTGTAGCAAACCTGGATTAGTAAATTCCAGGATTTACTGTAAAGTGTTGTGATTGCGTGTTCTGTGGGCGAAACACGGCAGCGAATTGTTCACAGGAACATCCCACAAACAGCAACAAAGTGAGTGATCACTTTTATCAATGGGGGGGTTGGGTTGGGGGCAGGAGGACCCGTCAGCCAAGACGCTGGGAGAGAGAGATCCCCTTCTCTTTACTAATAGCGTCGCAGAAGATCTTTAACGCCCACTGGTAGAGGGCATCTGACGGGGAAGCTTGGTTTAATATCTCATCTGAAGGACACAATGAGGCGCTAGCAACCCCTTCTCTCCCCCCCCCAACCCCCCAAAATCCCGCACTGCACTTGGGAGCGTCAGCATAAAAAAAACAATCACGTTCAGATATGCAAAGCGGCGGTGTGATCGCGAGTCGGTGACACTTACTCTGGGTGAACTTCGGGGGGTTGTCATTGACGTCGGTCAGGGTGATGGTGACTGTGGTGGTCCCCGACAGCCCCCCCATGTGGCCCCCCATGTCCTTGGCCTGGATGACCACCTGATACTCCTCCCTGGCCTCCCGGTCCATGTTGGGGAGAGCCGTCCGGATAATCCCTGCGGGACAAGAGCAAAATGAGACTGTCACACAAAGGAGGAAGACTTATTCCTGTTTTATTTTGGGGTTTGGGGGTGGTGGGGTGGGGGGGGTGATGTTGCAATTCGATGACAATAACGATCCTTGCTTTTGATAAGGCGCCTTATCGTGTCTTCGAGACATCTCATAGCTCTTCAGAGAATACACTGCAAAGTGAAGTGTATTTTGTGGGCGAAACGCGGCAGCCAACTGCACACAGCAGCGTCCCCACAAACAGTCGTGGAATTTTTTTCTTTTTAAAGGGATTATTTTCCCCAGAAAGCGATCCGCCAATCGACTAACAACTGGGTTCTTACTTACTGCTGATAAACAGGGGTGTGTGGGGGTGTGTGTGTGTGTGTGTGGAGTAAGGCAACGTGGCTAAGGTCTCGCCCTGACCTGACCCGCTCGGGAATCGAACCCTGGCTTGCGAGGCGAGGCCTCTAACCACTAAGCCACAGGAACTCCACATGAAGACTCCAGGAGAGAGAACGCCAGGTATTTTTTTGTATGGAGATATATATGAAATTCTTTCTGTGTGAAAATGTATTTTTGGAAGCAGAATATGGATTCACTCATGTGCATTGGCCGGGATGGATGAGTGCCGGGGGAAATTTAATCCGCCAAGTATTGCTGTCTAGTCTTCTAAAACCACGGCGCTCCGGGAAACTTTAATACGCTCAGGGTTAACTTTTGATCCTGATTTTCTTTGTCCTTTCCTTGAAGACGGCGTGGCTTGGAAAATAAGTTATGGCAGTTCAATAATTGAAAAGCCTGTGCAATTATTTTTTTTTCTCTCTCCCCCCCCCCTTTCTCGTTCTCTCGCTCGCTCTCTCTCTCTCTCTCTCTCGCTCTCTCTCTCGTTCCTATTTTTTTCTCTGCTGCCTCGTAAACTTCTGCTCAGGAACCACAAACCGAGCACACACTCAGCTCAACTAATTAAAGGTCAGAGCTGTGAGCAGGAGATTTCCCCCTCCCCATCTCCCCCCCAATTTCTTTTTTTTTAACCTCTCCCCGACTGAAATCTCGGATTGCTCTTGGCTCTGCGAGATGAAAAGCTTTCAACGACAACAACAACAACAATTTGGATTTATATAGCTTTGTCTCACTGTCAAGGTCTCTTGTAAAAACAAGGAGGATTGACAGCCCTTCCCTGTCTCCGGACAAAACCACCGTGGAACGCTACGGATTGACGGGAAGGACCTGATTGATATGGAAGATCTCAGGAATTGGGGAGGGAGAGGCCGGGGTGGGGGGGGGGGAGGAGGGTGGTGTACGAGGTACCCTTGAGTTTGAGGTTAATTGGGGACAGAGTAGAATAGAATAGAGGCAGCTTTTTCTCTGCCTGTGAAGCTAATTCATTTCCTACACGTGGCCAGGGAGGGGAGGTGACTTTAGTAATGCTGACTTTATACAGATAATACCAGGCAATTTGCTTAATATGGAGACCCGGAACTGTGTCACTCCACTCCGACAGGATTTCAGAGTGTCAATCCCGTCTCTTGGTTCACTATTTGACAAGGAATCCCATTAGAAAAATCCTCCTACACACACACACACACACCAACCCCTCCTTTCTCCTCTCCCTCACCCCCATCCCACCCACCCCAGACTGTGAGCTCAAAGTTGTCTAGAACCATCATCCTTTTGCCCCAAAGCCCCCTCTTCAGCCTCCTGACCCCCACCAAGACAAGAGGGTGTGCTCAGCGCGATGGATGGACTCCACCCAAGTCAAGCTGCCTCTATGTTGGTTTCCCCGATCCAATTCGAGGGCTCAGAGACTTTCTGGAAGAGACTGATATCCGCCCGGGACATGTTCAGGGAAAGAAGGAAAGCAGGGAAAGAAGGAAAGCCGCGCAGAAACCAAGGGCACTTTGTTGCGTCGCTTGTAAAAGGGCCGGAAAAATGCACATGAATCGAAACAGACTATGTGTGGCGCTGGCCTTGATGTTTCCCCCCCAAAAAAAAAGTGATTCCATTTAAGTTAATGAATTCCATTTCTTCTGGGAATTAAGTACCAACCTTAACCTTTCGTGAAATGCCTTGGCAGAGGAATTACAGCACGCTCCGAGGATTATTGATAGCGACAAATTGCACGTCTATTAGGCAGAACAAGCCCGTTAACTGATTCAACGCTGACCGACTCGCTTTGGCAGCGGAGATACCTGGATTAATGCGATTCCGCAAAAAGGTTATTTTTTTTTTTACCCACACATATTTTTTCATTACAACGGCCCATCTGTCACAATTTATAGAAGTCTATTCATGAATTTCTTTCAGTCTGCAATCCGACACAGCCTCACTCCTCTCCCCACCCTTCCCCTCCTCAACCCCCTCCCTCCTTCCCCCCCACTCCCTCCCCGTTAATCCTTGACAACCTCTCAAATACCAGCGATCTTAAAATATTCATTTTCCTATTATCAGCACGCTCGAAAGTCTCCAGGGTCAGTGGAAGGAGATTTAAACCTTGCCCTATTGTTGGAAGGTCAGTCACTGCACAGCGAGAATGGGAATGTGTAATTATAAGGAGGGATTTGCCTGTGTAAGCACATGCCTGGCCTGGCACGAGACCAGAGGGCAATCATTAACGTGGTCTCGCTGTGCCCGAGTCGATAAGGACAACCTTAAAGCCTTCACGTTCGCCTCTGATAACATTTGGAGTCCTGTAGCTGAGTGGTTAGAGCACTCACTTTGCAAGCGAGAGACCTGAGTTCAATTCCAGGCAGAGGGCGAAACCTCGGGCAAGTTTCCTTACTCCACACAGAGCCTAATAATAATCCCTCCAAAAACCAAAAACAATAATAAATTGGTCATTTTCAATCCACGACTGTTTGTGGGACATTGCTGTGCGCAATTGGCTGCCGCGTTCGCCCACAAATATACAGTCAATTCACTTTACAGTGTGTTCTGTGAAGCGCTTTGGGACGTCGAGAAGACGTGAAAAGCATTATATCAAATGTAAGGATTGTTATTATTATTCACTTTGTTTCCCATCAACAGCGTCTCTTCCATGCACTCGTTTTCAATGTGAGACTCTGAAACTCTCAGCCTCTCTGCCTCCGCCTTGCCCCCCTCCGCCCCCCATCTTCAGATCGTACCTGAAGACCTTCCTCTTTGACCGCACCTACCATCACCTCCCCTCTCTCCCCGGCTCGCCGGCTAACTACCTCACTGTTCAGCGTTCCGAGACCCTATCCCACCCAAAGGGGCGCCATGTAAATGCAAGTTGTTGTATTACTACAATCTGTAAATAGGTTCGGAGGTACAGGAAACTCCCGATAACTCATGACTCCAAGGGAATGAAGTCACACTCAGTGACGAGTTATCAGGCGGGTGGGTATACGTATAAATACAGCTAAATGCCACCGGGATATTGACAGTACGACGACTTATGAGGCAGTGACGAGTTAAGCCAGGGGTCGAGTTATCAGGAGTTGGCTGTATTTTCACCCCCACCCCAGAAAGATACAACTTGTTAATTTAAAAGGAGCCTTGAGAGCTGCAGAGACATCAGTCTGCCTACAGCACAGAGAGCAGACAGCTTAGTCTGGAAGATGGGATAGACTGAAATTGCTCTATTAGTCACAATTTCTTGACTGCTCAGAACAACACCGTCGCGAGCACTTCAGGATCTCGGCCTTTTCAAGAGCGGAGCTGGGAACGCAATCTGACAATCTCACTCCTGTTTTTTTTGCAGCAAATTCCAGATCCTGCTTGTCCCTCGTCCCCTCCCATCCACCATCAGCCGAGCACACTTTCAGTCACTGTGCCCCCCCACCCCCCAATTCCTCCGCTTTGCCCCCTTCCTTCCCCTCTTTTAGATCCCAACAACAACAACAAGCGACAAATTACAATTGTATACAACTGAAAATCTTTCTCTTCAAACCATGCTTAGCTCCCTCCCTCCCTCCCTCTCCCCCCCACCCCCACTTGGCTCCGAGTCGTTCCTTGCCACTGTTAAATAATCCGAGAAGCTCCCCCCACCCCACACCCCACCCACCCCGAATGAAGGCCGCTGTGCAAATGGATGGTACCTACCTGTGTGAGGCTCGATGGAGAAGTAGGGCTGCCCTTTGAGGATGCTGTACACCAGCCTGGCGCTGTTCCCATACACAGGGTCATCCTCGTCAGTGGCCGTGAGCTTCATCACAGACGTTCCTGTTGGGAGACGAGGAGGAAACACTGAGGTTTGGCCAATATTCCCAGGAGAAATTCCACCCGGTCCAGGACTTATTCCCACTTATCCTAGAGTTTTGCATCGTCCGCTAAGCCTACAACCCAGACCTCGTTTTATAGCCATTTTGGGGGCTGGTTGGGTGGGGGGGGGGTCAACAACAAGAACAAACAGAATTTATATAGCGTCTTCCATGTCACTTTGCAATCTTGATTATTTCTCTCTCTCTCTCTCTCTAGGCAGGTTGGCAGAATACTACACTACAGTACAGTACGCTACATGCCACCTTGTCACCACTCTGTAGGAGACTTGTCTCGAGACAGAAGAACATGGCCTCCCCAAGGGAGGGGGAAGCCAGTCAACAACAGCGGCTGCCAAGTGACAACGTCACCCAACTCGGGCTGAATAGCTGGTGTAGGACGCCAGGGCCTCAGAGGCGAGCACTGCATCTCATGTCAACCCTCGACATCCCGGGCTGCTTGCCACGGAAGCGTTACATTCACTCTGGAGCGGAACGAGTAATTAATTAACGAAGGCAGGTGACAGCAACGCAAGGGAGGGAGGGGGGCAGGGGGGGAGGGAGGGAGGGAGGGAGGCGATGGTTGGTGTCACTGTGAGAAGCTTGCTGCCCCGTGTCCCATCCTTTCACATCCGTGAGTCGCAAGCTGGAGGCCACATGTGTCGGCAAAGCACCAAGAAGAGGTGAACAAGTTTTCACACACAAACACATACGCCCACACACGGACGCACACACATATGCCTGCCCACTCACATGCACTTAAACGTACACAGACGCACACCCTCACACACACACCACACACGAGCACACACACACATACATGTACGCATGTACGTCCCCATATGCCTGTACACACACACAAAGGTCCATACACACACATGCGCGCTCATACACATACAAGCACACACAGACATGGGCAGCCAGTGGAGGAGACTGACAAACGGATCCCCATGGAAAGAAAAAGAAAAAGGCAGTCAAAAGTTCTTCAGGATGCGTGGGAGTGGGTGGGGGTGGGGGGAATTGGGGGTGAGGGTGGGAGAAGGCTGGGAGCAGGAATCGGGGAGGGATACAGGAAAGATGTCTCATCCGAAGGCTACATATACTATATATATAAAATATACAGTATAATTTGAATAGAATTAACCTAAATAATAATAATCATATCTCATCACATCCACTTTTCAACTCAAAGCTCCCCAACACACGTGAAAACATTTACTAACACATCAGGGGCTGCCATTGTGGTTGTCAGTCTGTGTGGCATTTCACCCTCTTAACAGCCCCGCAGACTGTAAGAAACCTGGCTTTGTTAGCGCCAAACCCCCCCCCCTCCTCCTCTGCCAAAGCAAGCACTGTGGAGAGGCACAAAGCAGCCATCAGCGCACTGACACCCTGAATGGCTGAGTTACAAGCCAACAGAGCGATTTCCTTCTAAACCATTCAGAGCCTCTGCCTCCACACGTCGCAGGCACAACAAAAGGAGGGTGTAATTGAGGTTTCGTAGGCAAAATAGGCCTCTTTGTGCTGCAGAAACGTATACTGATATTTTGTGGCCGGGGTTTGTGAAGCTGACTCATGGTTTGGGTAATCGGAGAGAGAGCGAGAGAGAGAGAGACACGTGGTGATGTGGGGTGGGGGTGTTGGGGGAGTGGGAGGGAGAGGAGGTGGGAAGAGCTCCTCCTGTGCTGGTGTCCGTTCCTTCCGCACTGGAGCTCTCCACTCTAAACCCCATTCCCTGTTCTCTCCATATTTCCTCAAGTAAAACGAGCATCGAAGTAAGGCGGCAGCTCACAGACACGGAGGAGATAGCTGAGAGCTGCAGCCAGTCAGCCAATCGTTTTGCAACAGGACATTTGTTCCCCTTGTTCCATCGTCACCTTTGATCCAATTGAGTTAGCGACTGGCCGCTGTGCATTGAGACAGCAAAAACCCAGCGGATTCACAGACGCGGGGAACAAGGCGTCTCGTAGATGGATAAGAGAATAAAAATCCTTTATGGGGACGGACGTCTAACGCTACCGGCCCCAACCTGTGTGCAGTGTCACCTCACAGATCTGCAAGGTCTGGGTTATTTTCTCGTTGACATGGTGTGTTTGGAATGGAGGCCTTAATTAAATATTGACGGACTAACGATCGGAGTTTGTTTCAGTTCAGCCAAAAAAACACATGCACGGCAGGGTGTGGGCGGAGAGCGGGTAAATTTCGACATGAGCTTTGGCCGCCCTGATAACACGGTGATGACACTGTGTTTGGCAGCAACAACAGCAAAAGAACACACTTTAGCACCTTTGAGCGTTTTTTTTTGCACAAATGACACATTGCTAGGACGCTAGGAGTGTGTTTCTTCACACCTCACTGCGCGTAGCAAATGAGGACAGAAGCCGAGAGAGAGAGAGAAAGAGAGAGAGAAAAAGCGAGCTGCCAATCGACTAACAACCGGGTTCCTACTCACGGCCGGTAAGGAAACTTGTAAGGAAACTCAAGTAAACTCGAGTAAGGAAACTTGCCTCAGGTTTTGCCCCTCCCGCCCAGGAATCGAATCGAACCTGGATCCTCTGGCTTGCGAGGCAAGAGCACTAACCACTAGGCTACGGGACTGAACAGTTATTAGTAATTAGATTTTCTATGCCTGCGATATAATTTCAGGCAATGTTCACTAGCCAGAGGGCACGATCTGTTTGCTCACTTCATTAGAGAACAGAGAAGGGCCGGGAGAGCGCGAGCGAGAGAGCGAGCAAGTGCCTCGTAGTCAGTCCTCGGCAAAGGAGACCCAAGTGGTGTTTTTTCTCTCTCTCTCTCTCTCACTCTCTCTGTGCCCAGAGGTGTTTGTTCTTAAAAAGAGGCTGAGGATACGCTGACAGTCTCTGGGAGCTGGGAGAGACAGGCTCGGTGCAAGTGCTCGCATCACGTTCCTCTAACTTTTCACTCCATCCCCCACGTTATTGCTTTACAAGCAGTTCCAAGAGGAATTTATATTAATCCTCGCACCTAATCCTGCGTCAAACCAGCTTCACAGAAGCCAAACGAGACACAGCCTCGTCCCGGCAAACAGCCCTGAAGTGAATGACTCATTTTCAAAATGATTGTTGGCCAGGATAGCAGGAGAGAGAGAAACTCTCTTCTCCTTTCCTATAGCGCCACAGGATCTTTAACATCCACCTAAATCTGATGAGAGAGAGAGAGAGAGGTACAGAGAGAGGGAGAGAATGACTCAGAGAGAGAGAGGCTCAGAGAGAAGGAGAGAGACATGCCAAGAGAGGGAGAAAGAGAGGGATGGAGAGAGACACAGAGAGTTGGAGAGAGAGAGAGAGACACAGAGAGAAGTAGAGAGAGATAGACGGAGAGAAAATCTCGGGAGCAGAGGCGACAATAAATAACTCTTGCCATTGCTCCCTGAGGGGGAATATGCTGCCACAGCCATCGCGGCCTGAAAGATGTCTTTGCCTCATTTGTGTAAGAAAGAATATGCAATGGGACAATTAATATCAGCGTCCCCAGCACTTTACGAGGTGAGCGCTCATTTACAAAGTCCTGCTCACTTCCCTCCCGCACCCCCACTCTCACAGTTACTTGGGCATCATTCTTCCCGTGTGGGGTGAGCAAGGGGGTTTGGTCATGATACTTGCCTGGGCGTGTGTGTGTGTATGCGTGCATGGGTGTGTATGCTTGTGTGTGTGTGTCTGTGTGTGTGTGAGTGTATGGGCAGAGAGACTGTCACAGCCAAACCCCCAATCCTGACTTTAGAAAGACCCAGACACCCTCGTGATAAATATCACAGGTACCCCAAATATTGCTGACCGGGGTGCGTTGGGGGGGTGAGTGGCGGGGGGCTAAGTGGGGGGGGGGTAAGTGGGGGGGGTGAGTGGGGGGAGAGTGATTATTTACAAAACTACAATTATAAAATTATTGTAAATTCACCCTCAAAAAACAGTCAATTCACTTTACAGTATATCCCGTGAAGCGCTTTGAGACGCCTCGAAGACGTGATAAGGCACTGTACCAAACTCACGTATTATTATTATTATTGACCACGTTTGAGGTCGAGGTGACGATTATCCCCAGTGATAACATGACGATGTGACAATGTGTTGGGGCCTTGGGACGTCCTCCCGAAGTGAAAGGTGTTATGCAAGTGTAATGTTGTTGTTGTTGTTGTTGGGTGTGAGCGAGTGCTACTCACCTACACTGGACATCTCCGGCACGGTGGCGTGGTATGGCTCGTGGGTAAACACCGGTGCATTATCATTGATGTCCTGCACTTTAATGATGAACTCGGACGGAGGCTCCATGGAGCTGTTGGTTTCCCGGTTGATGACCTGCGCTGTCAGCGTGTACTCAGACTTCTCCTCCCGGTCCAGCCTCTTCATGGCGTGGATGTCGCCTGTGAACTCATTGATGACGAAGATGGTTCCCGCGCCTTCGCCAGAGAGAATGTACTTGATGTTAGTGGCTCCAGCATCGAGATCAGTGTGAAGCTGGGGAGAGAGGAGAGGACCATAACAACAGTAACAATAATAATAATAATTATTATTATAATAACAGTAATAATCCTCGCATTTGATACAGCGCCTTATCACGTCTTCGAGACGTCTCAAAAGCTCTTCCCGGGATACACTGTGACGCGAATTGACTGTGTATTTTGAGGGCGAAACGAGGCAGCCAATTGTGCACAGTGACGTCCCACAAACAGAGCGAGAGAAAGAAAAGCCATCTCTTTGATTCACCGCCACACCTCTTCTTCTCTTTAGGGCAATCGTTAAGCTCTGGAGCTTTAATATTCCGTGCAAATAAGCTCTTAAAACAGTGAAAAGAACATCTTTAAAGCAACCAAATCCGGGTTTGATTTAATTAAAGCTCGCTACAGATGTGTTCAATCATCTGTGGCAGAGGAGTTAATGCCAAGCTGTTAATAAAAGCGATTAGACTTGATTAATATCTATTGATATGAACTGTGGGTGAGGAAAAGGAGCAGTTCCTACAGCTGCAAACCTTTGATATTAATAACAAGGGAAAATGCTTCAGCTTCAAACATGAGTCAGAAAATATCACCTGGGAACCACAACCGAGTCCCTTAGTAAACCTTTCGGATTTTTGGGGAGGAAGAGGCAAAGATTATCCCGTGCTTGTGAGCACATGAAAATATTGAAAATTTACCCCCACCCACCCCACCCCCGCACCAACGCACCACACAGTGGCCTGTGCTGATCCTTGCATATGATACAGCGCCTTATCACGTCGTCGAGACGTCTCAAAGAGCTTCAATCAACGAATACGCTGTAAAGTGGATGGACTGTGTACTTGTTGGGCCAAATGCGGCAGCCAATTGAGTGCAGCAGTGTCCCCACAAACAGTGGTGGATTGAAGTGACCAAATTATTATGCTGCACGGCTCACTGCATTGCAAGGCAGGCCTGAGCTCCTCACTGCAAGTCTCTGTAGTTCGCCACAACAGATTTGACTTGCATTTTAAGTCAGGTACGAAATGTCTCACACTTGTCGTCCCCTCTCCCCATGCAGCTTGACATCCTGTGGGGTAGCGCACACACACACACACACAAAATAACACTCACTCTCTCCCGCTTTCACTATGTCATGATAGTAGCCCGGCCCGGCCCGGCTCATCAGCAGGACCTGGAAGGGCAGACTAGTCACTGGGAGCAGGGAATCCTCCCCCTCAGCTCCTGTTAACCCTGCAGCCAAAGCCCTAACGGGGAGGGTGATCCTAGCTGGACAAGCAGTGGGAAAGCTTGGCCAGACAGCTCTCTCAATGGCCAAGCTATGTGTGGTTTTAGCTGGTTAGACTCCAGCTGTTACCCCAACACACACCCTGGGGTCCCCCTAAGCCTTGGCTCTTGCCAACCTGTGCCTAATACTCTCCAGAATTAGGTAAGCAGGAGAGAAGAGTCGCAATCCCTTCAGGGAGAGAGATGTCGACAATCCACTCACACACACTTCTCCGCCCAGATAAAAATCAGCATCACTTCACGGTTTGTTTGTGGTGGGAAGTTCCTGTACATAAATTGGCTGCCAAGTTTGCTTACAAAATACACAGTTAGTAATAAATTTAGTCAATAATAGATTTATGACAATAAATCTTGTGAAGCGCCTTGAGAGGTTTTGACGACCTCACATATCAAATACAAGGTTTATTATTAATTATCGTTATTTTCCATCGTTACAAAGCCGTGATGTATGGCGCAGCTCGCTCTAACAGCCTGACCCACACCGTAAACCTCCACAACATTCCCAGGGAACGAGGCGAAAATTGATCCCTGTGACGTGTTAGTTATCACATCGCTCCGCGCCTTATCACGTTGTTGAGACGTCTCAAAGCTCTTCACAGAATATACTGTAAAGTGGAGTGACCGTGTATTTTGTGGGTGAAACAAGGCAGCCAATTGCGCACAGCAGCGTCCCCACAAACAGCCATGGAGTGAATGATCAATTATATTTGGGGGGGGGGTTTCTGGAGCAATGAGAACCACCCCTCCCCCCCACCCACCACCACTCCCCCCGCTCCCACCAAACTGCTCTAGCGATCTCTAGCCAGGAAGAGTTGATGACACAACGCTCTCGGGGGAAGCTTACATCAAACAGGAAGCGGCCATGGCGCGAGGCAAGAGCGAATGCTGCCTTTGCCTTTGGTGGTTGTAGGCAGTGCGGAGAGAGGTCTCACAGCGTACGCTTGCCAGGCCGCTAATTACACAGGGAGGCACAAGGCCATCTCAGCTGCAACAGCAAGAGCAGGAAGAGATTTTACCAACACAGGGACATGGTATCCGAACGTGCAGATCGGAAAAGTGCAGAGATAACTGGTGAGGTGCTAACCCTCTCGCCTCTTGAGTCGGAAGGTTGTGGGTTCAAGCCCCCACCTCGGGACTTGGAATCACATGGTGTAAGCGGATGTTACAATGCCTTAAATGACATTAAACAGAGGCCAATTCTCTCTCTCCCGGTTTCCTGGTCGACAATCCCCCAGGTCCAATTGGTCACTCAATCCACGACTGTTTGTGTGGCACTGCTGTGTGCGAGTGACTACCATGTTTTGCCCATAAAATATACAGTCAAATCCACTTTACTGTATATATCCTGTGAAGTGTTTTGAGACGTGATAAGACACTATATCAAATGCAAGGATTATTATTATTATAACTGTACACGAACATTCTCAACAAGAGGGGCTAAGACCTATAATCCCAACACGACACACAGTCACTACACTCACAATACCCATTCCCAGTTAAACTGCAGGCACCAGGAGAGGGGGAGGAGGTGAGGAGCAGGATCAAACTCTGCAGCTTCAACAAAATAAATGATAAGAGGAATGTATTAATCTCGTCACAAGCAGGTTTCACTGTACTCAAGTGCAGGTAAGAGACACTGAGCTCGATTATATGTAAATCGCTGAGCTGAGTGACTTATCGGAGTCACTCCTGACAGAGAGCAGAACCGGGAACATTACAGGTATGTGGATGCTTGGTGTGTGTGAGCATGCGTGTGCTCGTGTGCGTACGTGGGCATGTAGGTGTACATGCGGGCGGGTGTGTGAGTGCGGGGGTAGGGGGGGGTGAAGGGAGTGGGGGGGCAGGCAGGTGGGAGAAAAAAAATATTAGCACAGCAGCGTTTCCGTAAAAAGATTGAAAGAAAAGAGAGAAAAAGGTTTTTTAAACCCGCATCTCTGGTTGCAAACCCTAAGTGTCAACCCCCCCCACAACCCTCAACCCAAACCCCCACAACCCTCAACCCAAACCCTCACAACCCTCAACCCAAACCCTCACAACCCTCAACCCAAACCCTCACAACCCTCAACCCAAACCCTCACAACCCTCAACCCAAACCGCCCCCAACCCAACCCCAACCCACCACAAATCTCACATTCGATTCAGCGCCTGAGGACGTCTCGCAGGGATTTGCTGCGAGGTGCAGCGACTGTGTGTTTATTCCGGGCGAGAGCGGCAGCCAATATTACGCACGGCAATGCCCTCCCCAACCCCGCCGGAAAGGGAGCAAAGAAGCCATTTTATTTGGGTGCTTTGTCAGTCAGGACACCAGGAGAGAAATTCCCTTCTCTTTGAAAACTGAAAGGTTGACAGCGAGCTACATCCCCGCCCCCTCTCCTCTCGATGTACCAACCAAACACAACTCCGAGTTTCAAGGTCCTCATTCAGTTATTTTTAAAACCCATGCCATTAATTATGGATGGACTACCTTTCAGCCTCGTGCGTGACAAACACACAGACTTCAATTGCTAGAGGAAAACTTCCATTAAAAGAAATCCCGGTAAGAAATACTGCAATTTAAACCCAATTGAGATATAATTACGGGATTCAATTTTACATTTTACTTGCAGGTAGGAATCCAGTGAACGCTCACAACTCCAACTCTCCAAAATAATGGAAGTTACAGCACAGAAATAGGCTAATCATCCCCATCGTGTCTGTGCTGGCGTTCGCTTCCCCCCACCCCCGCCCCCCACCCCCACCTCTCCACCCACACACCTCACACCAATGGAGCGCTCTAATATAGACGAGGGTCACCGAGAGGGTGGGAGGGGCTGAGAGGAACATGTACCAAGCCGATCGGGAGGACGGACAGAAATCAGAGAGATAGGGAAAGAATGAGAGGTCACGTCTGTCTTGTGAAAGCAACCCGACAGCAGAATGCTGCTCTCAACCTCAGCCATATTTTACTCCAATTTCCTCGACACAGATTAAATCAGCGGTGGCTCGGGACTGCTGGCGAGAGACAGCTGCTGTGGGGCTGACAGATTCCGTGGTTATCTCTCCAGGAATCTCCGCACTGTGCTTTCCTCACTTCACAAACCGCCCGCGGTTTAGCTGACCTCTGTCTCTCTCTCTCTGCGTCACTCCGGGGAACGCACCTCAGTAATCCTGGCCACTTACTGTCCTTCAGTACCCCACTGACCACATCCCTCGCCGCTCCGTCAGTAACAATAATACAGTGTAATAACAGTCCATGCATTTGATACAGCATCGAGAGATGTCTCCAGCAGTTACCCCAAGCCTTGGCTCCTGCCAATCTGTGCCCTAATACTCTCCGAAATTATCATAATAATTCTTCCATTTGACCCAGCGCCTGATCACGTCTTCGAGACGTCTCAAAGCGCTTTGCAGAGTATACTGTAAAGTGAATTGACTGTATATTTTGTGGGCAAAACGCGGCAGCCAATTGCGCACAGCAGCGTCCCCACAAACAGCTGTGGATTAAGTGACCAAATTATTATTATTGTTTATGTAAGCAGGATGCGTTCCTCCAGGGAGAGAGAGAGAGAAAGAGCAAGAGAGAGAGAGAGAGTATTCCATTCCATGTGTAGGTGGGATGTGAAGAATTCTCAGCTTGGTTTGGATTCCCTTAAGCCACGGTGATGGGTTTCCGTGTGTGTCAGACACCCGGCTGGTCACCGGTGATGGGTTTCCGTGTGTGTCAGACACCCGGCTGGTCACGGTGATGGGTTTCCGTGTGTGTCAGACACCCGGCTGGTCACGGTGACGGGTTTCCGTGCGTGTCAGACACCCGGCTGGTCACGGTGACGGGTTTCCGTGTGTGTCAGACACCCGGCTGGTCACGGTGACGGGTTTCCGTTTGTGTCAGACACCCGGCTGGTCACGGTGACGGGTTTCCGTGTGTGTCAGATACCCGGCTGACCCTGCCCCCCAAAAAAAAGAATAGAAACAGTTTGCATTAAGCAGCTTCCAGTCACACAATGTCCGGGTGTTTCCACTCAGCGTCACACACCAACCTACCCGGCCGACGAGGATGGGTTCCGGCCCTGAGAACTCCTCCAGCACGAACATCTGGTTCCACACCCAACCCCTCTTGGAACGGCTGAGGACGGGGCTCTCCCTGGCCACTCCATCCAGCATCAACACGGCTGGGCTCGGCTGACCCAGGGGTGGCGAGGGTACCACAGCCTGCACCGAGGCCACCAGGCCGATCCACACTGCCACCAGGCCAGTCCGCACGTCCGGTAGCTTCTTGCCTGGTCTCCCGGCCATCATTCCCAATGCCACGCTCCCTTCCCCCGCCACCACCGTCACCACCGAGCACACAAGGAAGCGTTGCCAATTCACTTCTCTCCTCTCCAACTGGGAACCGGCAGGTCCATAATGCAAGACAGCCAGCCAGCCAGCGATCGATCGATCGACCTTTTAGTTCCTCAAAGGGAACAGGGGCCGTAAATCACAGAGGTGCCTTTCCTGTGCCAGGCAATGGATGGTTCATTGAGCTCACTGAGGAACTCTGCAAACAGAAAGAAAGAAGGGACGTTCACAGTGTGTCGTACAGTTTACGAGGCATATTTTAAAGCATGAGATGAGTAAAGTCCTTTCTCTCTCCCCCCACTCCCCGACCCCACCCCACACCTCTCTGGACTGACATTCCACTGCAGTGCAGGGAAGAGTGTGGTGAGGGCGGGGTGGGGGGGGAGTTGCTGGGGTTAAGGGAAAGAGCACTGCATTGACAGAGGCGACGTCATTTGGATGAGATGTTAAAATGAGGTTCTGTGTCCGTTCAGGTGGATGTTAAAATTCCCACTGCACAAACGGAGTGGAGACGGGAGGTTCTCTCTCGCCGTGTCCTGGCCGACAATCCCCCAAATAATCCAGTCATTCACTTCATGGCTGTTTGCGGGGATGTTGCTGTTTGCAAATTGTTCACTCGCAAAACACACAGTCCTTACCTACACTTTACAGTCTAATCCTGTGACGCGCTTTGAGCCATTTCAACGACCCGATAAGGCACTTATCATATTTGTTGTACTTCATTCATTATTATTTTAATTAGATTTTAGTAATTCATTGTTATTTCCTCTGTTATTTCCATTGGTTCTCACACATGCACACACGCACACACACACACACACATTTCCCTGTGATAAGCTGCACATTTCCCCTCAATCCCGACACCCGTGCAGCGCTTGTGGAGTCTTGCTCTAGTCTCTGCGCGAAGGCAGGGTTGCTGCAAAACAAGATGAAGTGGCTGCCCTCCAGCCAAGACTTTCTCTCTCCACGTCTCTCCCCGCACATAGGCGTATAGCAACAGGAGGAGGCTATTCAGCCCCTCGAGCCTGTTCTGCCATTCTATTTGATCATAGCTGATCTGTACCTCAACTCCAATTACCTGCCTTTGCCCCATATCCCCCGATACCCTGACCTAACAAACATCTCTCCACCTCGGTCTTGAAAATTTGAATGGATCCAACATCCACAGCCTTTGGGGAGAGAGAGAGAGAGAGAGTTCCAGAGTTGCAGATTTCCACCACCCTTTGCTTGAAAACACAATGCATTTCAGCTGAACCGGACGGCTTCTCACCTACACAACTCCACCACAAAAAAAACACACACCGATTCACACGAATCGTTCGACAGACATCGCTGGTGATTTAAACGTGCACTTTCATTAAGAGGATTGCAAAACCTCGCCACGGTTCTGAAGGGTAAGGGCAATCAATTTAAATATAGATTCCACCCCGCACACCACCCCCCCCCCGACCCCGCCACCCCACCCAGCCCATCCCACTCCATAGTGGGATCTAAATTTCAGGTCAAATAATTCATTCTATTTCAAACCCCACCGCATTGATTGAAAACATAGCACTACAACTGCAAGCTTTTCATAAATGTGTCTCCTGTGTGTGCAAGTACATTGAAGGTAATATCCAGTGGTAGCTGGTATAATAGGAGTTTTATTTCAAAAAACGTAAAGTCTCTCTCTCTCTTTTGACTCGCGTTCTCTCTCCAACCTAAGGAATACTTTATTGCCTCTGAACAACGATAGCCTCCCTCAAAGGTGGTTTGGAGCCAACAGTCTGCTCACTGCTCTCTCGTTCCCCAGCACCGCACGCTTTTAATATCTATTAATCACGACAAGGGTTTTTATGGCAGAACGCTCTTATTACAATCTACCCCAGACAAAGAAAGTAGGGAAAAAAGAAATGTCAATTTTTTTTCCCACAGAAATGGCGAAGTCAGCCTGGCTCAGCCCCAGGGTCAGAAGGCTGTGGGTTCAACTCCACACGCACACGCACACAGTGTCCTGGCCGACAATCCCCCAAACAAAATCAGTCATTCGCGTCATGACTGTTTGTGGGGACGCTGCTGTGCACAATTGGCTGCCATGTTTCGCCCACAAAATATACAGACAACTCACTTTACAGCACATTCTGTGAAGCGCTTTGAGAACGTCTAGAAGCCGTGGTAAGGTGCTACATCGAATGCAAGGATTAATTACTATTTTTGTTATTATTGCTTCAAGTGAGTGCTTTTTTCTTTAAAAATTGCCAAACGAGTCAAATCGGGGTAAGTGACAGCGAACAGAAGCTCACGGAGGGAACTAACACTCACTGGGGTCTAATTTGTGAGTTGGGTTAAAAGCTCACATGTGCCAAGTTTTGCAGTTTGGGTTAATGACATGCAAACGGATGTGTACGCAGGGAGTTGAATGTCCTTTTATAATTAAATAGAATTTTATAATTGAAGCACAAAGCAATTCAGGAGAGCCAGTGAACTCCGTGCTCTCAATGTTAACGATATGACCAAAGGCACGCGTGGGTGTAACGTGTGCTTTCCCACAGTCAACACAACACGCCAAGGAATCCAGCGAAGGGCGGTTTCGATCATTTTTTTTCAGAACGAAATCCCGCTTTTCATTGTTGCTGGGAAATGATCAAGGGAGGCTAAGATAAGAACACACCGGTGTTACGGCCTGCTAATAAATTAGCAGTCAGCCAGTTCACTCCCTCACCGTAGAGCTACGCTCAAATCTTAGTATTCTGCGCTCTTTGCTTTGATGGAACACAGCCTGATTTCTCATGCAAATAAAGTCTACCTGGATTTTCGTCTCGCTCGTCAAGGTCAGGAAGGTGAATACCGTAGAGCCGTAGCAAGTTACAGCACCATGGAAGGCCGTCTCTCCCTCCAACAAAAATGTGGTCACTCAATCCATGACCGTTTTGGGACGGGTGCTGTGCACAATTGGCACCCGCGTTTCGCCCACAAAATACACAGTATCTCCTGTAAAGAGCTCTGAGACATCTCAACGACATGATGAGGAGTTATGAGGAGACATGATATCAAGTGCAAGGATTATTAGTAGTAGCCGAATTTGTTTGACAAGATGCATGGCTGTTGCACCTTGGCCATCGAGAGTCGCTGCCTGGCAAGCTCGGAGATATCTTCTCTCAACACTGAAGTGTCCCCCCCCCCCCCACCCACCCTCTAGCTTGTCTAATTGTCTTTCAATCACAACCCAATGATTGCTGTCTAACCTGTGTGAGAGGTGTTATATAAATGCATGTTGTTGTACCCAGCCCAGGTAATGCCCTCAAATATGCCAGCCCCCATCGCCTCTGCTTTATATATCACAATCCTGCCCACCCCCCCCCCCCACCACCCCCACATACACACAAACACATTATATCCTGAATACTTTTTGCTCCCCAAGAGCACAATAAAGGCTGCACTATTTTCCCTCTTGCAATTCCAAGGATAACAGGAATAAATCCTTGCATTTGATACAGTGCCTTGTCACGTCTTCGAGACGTCTCAAAGCGCTTCACAGGATACTCCGTAAAGCGAACTGACCGTGTATTTTGTGGGTTGAAACGCGGGAATAAAATTTTTTTAAAAATAAAAGCATCCGCGGTTAAGAGGGAGATGATAAAAAGATTAGAAAGAGTAGAGAGAGAAAGAGAGAGTTTCATTTCGGCATTACGCTGGACCGGTTTAAAATCCAACGATCGAAAAAACGTAATGAATTAATTAATTCAACCGCAAAAACGGACGATTGTCAGATCTTAAAAGGCTTCTTTTTATGGACGCCCGGGCTCAGTCAGTGTAGTCTGTACCTCAGTGCACGCGTTTAATTACAACCAGCTTGAATAGACAGGCATTCATCGCTAAATGGGTTTTCTTCTTTCTTTTCTGCACAACTTGTGGTTTCTGAAGGTACTGGGTCTGCTGCAGATACCATCTGATAAGATTTTGCCGTGAGAATGGATTGTAATTGGTATAAAAGGGAAAGGAGACCTGATTATGAAACCAGCCAGAGACGTGTCTGAGCCAAGGTGGATAGAGGAGAAAAGCTCGTCTCTCTCTCTCGCTCTTTCTCTGTCTCTGGCTGTATCTCCCTCTATCTCTCTCTCCTTTCTCTCATTGTGTTTACGATATATAATTTCTGCGCACAATGGGGCCGCTTCGTTTCGCCCGCAAAACACACCGTCAATTCGCTTTGCGGTGTATCCTGTGAAGCGCTTCGAGACGTCTCGAAGACGCGATAAGGCGCTGTGTCAAATGCCAGGGATTACAATTATAATTATTAAATAAAATCTGTGGTGCGGGGAAACGAAAGGGTTAGCAAACCCGGGTTTAAACTGAGTAAAAGCTGAAACATATGCTCGATTTTCAAGGGCTTAAAATAAATAAATCTGATTATCTCCCCCCCACCCCCCCCCCCCCCATCCCCCCATACACACAGTCACACACACACACAGAGACTGGTGAAATCTCCACAACTTGTCACTCAGTGGACGGTGTATTCTTAGTCAGAAAAGAACCGATTGCATTTCACCCCTCAGCTCCAAAGGAACAAACGTTGGCTATAATACACGTTTCCGAATAACTTTCGCGAAAAAAAATAACGCACCAGAGCTCGCTGGTCGCAAAATCGCCACCGTTCGCTTTCGAAAGGGACTACTGATGCCCATTAACACCGCATTTTGCGCAATTTTGCAATGTTTTAAAAGAACACAACCGTAGCAGGGAGTTTGCAACCTGCAAACGGTTCAGCCCAAGTATCAGTGGAAGTGACCCGCACCGTCTTATTTTGCGGTGTGCGTTCATTGCGAAACCCTTCGTAGGGGGATTTTTTTTTTGCGCAAACGGAGTGCAAAGGCGGCAGCATTCGCAGTGCAACGCAGACACGTCGGTGCGTGAGGGATATTCCAACTGTGGAGGTTTTAACTCACATTTCCTCCAAACTCCCAACAAAACAAACACTTTACTCAACAGCCGCACTAACAGAGACCCTGAGGGGAGTGTGAGTGTGGGGGGGGGGGGTGAGGGGTGGGGGAGGGGGGGGGTGGGGGGAGAGAGAGGGATGGGGTTCCAGGCTCAGCACTGGGAATATTTCTCCAGGATTTTCCCTTCACAATATTCTCCCAGTTTCAGCACTCACTCACACACTCACTCACACACTCACTCACTCACACACTCACTCACACACACCTGCCTCTCGCACAGTCACACACACAATCACACACACTCAGGCTCTCCTCTCCCTCTTTCTCTTTCTCTCTCTCTCACACTCACTCGCTCTCACACTCTCCCCCCCACTCCCCCCCGGGTCAGTGTCAGAGAATACCAGGAACATGTCAAACATCAGTGGCGCTCACATCACCCGAGAGTGGGGCTCAGGGAGCGATGGGAGTCCATGTGCCACAGAGCAAATAGGATCCTACCAACAACCCTCGATAATCAGCCATAAATGTTCCCCTCACCCCCCCCCCCACCCCCCTCTCTCTCTCTCTCTCTGCCTCTCTCTCCCCCCCCCCCCTCCCCCCCCCCACCACCACCAAAAGATAATCATCTGTGTACAGTTTGCAAACCTTCCCCCACTTACAGAGGTGAGAAACGTTGGGTCAATGTTTTAGTTTGAAATCTGTGGTTCTTACCCCATCATTAGGGACCTCAACCGCCTGAAGCAACCGGACAAACACACAGTCACTACATGGGGGGGGGGGGGGGGGGGGAGGGGGGGGATCACGCGAAGCGCTTTGAGCTGTACCGAAGGGAAGAATTAATCCAAATAACGATGAATTCTCGTTGTGTCCGAGTTGACTCCGGACCGGAATGGTTTATTAATGAGGACTTTTAGTCGCAGCTCAATCGTCAGATACAAAAAAAATTATACAGATATATTTCTGTGGAATATTAAAATAAAGTATTATAAAGCCCTCTCTCCCTCTCCCCCTTTTCTTGGGTGACATCTGAAGGGGAGAG